ATCGGCTTACATTGATCTAAGAATCTATAAGTATAAAAAAGGATGTTTGTAGCCTAATGTGGCAGTGACAAACTCAGACACCGCTGGACCGATGGCCACGAAACTTGGTACATACATGTAGAATTTCATGGAATAGGAATAACAACATAATTAATTTCATGATAACTTCTGGGCTTAGCTCCCCTGGGACCATCTTGAAGGCAACCATGCCAGGGATTTTGAAAGACTATTTAAAAAGAATCAAAGAACATTGTTAACAGCTGTTTAAAATAAACCAACGAGTTAAGTTCTATGATGTTCAACAGCATTAACAAGTTACAAAGTAAACCAACATATTGCAGCACAATTGTTTCCCCCTGTTGTAAAGCAAGAGGTGGGTACAGCAACTAGACCGAATAACACCCTTTAGTTTGACTTCAGTAGTTCCATATGTCTAATTAGCTTCCGTGGTTAGTCTACATAAGAATGTATTTAATCATTAACACTATTCGTGCTGTCGACATGTTTGAACATAAAAGTTGCATTTATTTCAATGTTAAGCAATTGCGGGAATTCCCGTCATCAGCACCCAACGTGTTAATAACTACACCGTATGGAATATTAATGTAAAAGGTCATGTTAACCCGTAGTGAAGTCACATCTTCAGCCGGTTCATAACAAAACTCAAAAGTATGTTGGGCGAAGCCGACGGGCAACAGCTAGTATTAAAATAAATGTGGTTGAAATAACCAGCGAGCACATAATAATAGTGTTCGCTGGAAATAACGCGTTTTCTGACATAGTCACATTTTAGGTATAGGGTACTTGACTTGTGCATACTATCTATTGACCAGCCGAAGCCTATTTTTCTCCAAAAAATACATAAAAAAGTCGTATAATTCTTTACTCACAATAGGCACACATAACTTGCACATATATTTAAATTAGTACCAACAACATCTAAATTGTCATGACTATTTCTTAATCATAGAACTTTAAGCTACCTAGTTTTTTTCCTTAATCGTAGTTGAATGAGTTACACAGTGTTGTTACAGTATAAAATGATTTTTTCTCGCTAAGTTGGATTTACTGATGTAGTTGTGCGACATAAAAGTGTTACAACTTACAATAAATTTGACTTGGTTAACAAGTTGGTGTATTTGACAGACGAATATTTAAAGTGGTATGGATCATAGATATAAAATGACATAACTGGCTGGAATCCTATACTAATAACAATAACATATGGTTTAGTTAGACGGTTCCATTTAAGCAATGTTAAAAAATGTTTACTTTCGGGCCAGTAACTTCATTTGTTTATGCTTGTGATCCATGCAGTTTCTGTTCTAGTATTCGTGGATACTATAAAGTCAATGGTACTATCTGGCCCTATTGCATAAAACTACAATTTTACAAGTTTACAGGCAAATTTCTGAAGAATTCTTCAGAAATTGTAATTACAGGTGTTGCAAGAACTACAAGTTACAGACTTGTAACAACTACTCAAAAACCCAAATTTACAGGCATTTTTTAACAATTTTACAGGTGTGTAAACTTGTATTTACAATAAAGTTATTACAATTTTACATATACCTGTAAAAATGTAAGAATTTTTTACCTAGCTTCTTTGGCCTGTAAACCTTTGTTGCTATTGTACAAGTATTCTTTTTTAAGACAAAGATGTGGAATAGTGATGATTCTTCTGATCCACAACCCCGAAGAAGGACCTTCAAACTGGAACTTAAAACTAAACAGCTATAATATTTTTATATTTAATGTTATAGTAAGTGAAGATGACATAGTCAAATAAGAAATATAGCATTATGATGATCACTAAATTAATTAGTTAACTATTGATTAACATTAATTTAATAGACTATCCACTAACTATAAATACCCCCGCCGCAGCAACCCTGCCGACTAAGCGAATTTCCATTTGTCTGAATTGATTTTCAATTAACCTAAATCTATTTAAATAACATTAGGCTTAACGAGTACGTAGGTTTGCTGCGACAAGGCAACTAATAGTGTATTTTTCAGTAAAATAATTATAGCTTGGTATAAAATAAATAAGTTTGCCAAGTTTGATCAAAATATATCGATAACCAAGCAAACAACAACATTTTACAATATTCTCCATAAGAATAACATGGGAGTTAGAAAAATTTAAAGTTTTTTTTTAATTTTCTCCGTTTCCAATAACCGTACAAAAATACTTTGATTACCGGTAACTAAATTATTTATTTTTGAGCTCTTTAAAAAGGTCTGAAGAGAAATTGGGAAATTTTGTATTTTGAGGGTCAAAAATTAGAAAACCATTTTTTACCCCATAAAACCGGGTTTTACGGGGAAAACCCCGTTCCCTTGGTCCGATCATGCTGGTTTGCGAACTCGTACGAATAAACGAAGGTTACACGTTTGTACCAAATTTCATCAAAATCAAATCATTTTTGCTCGAGTTATCGCGCTAACGGACACACACACACACACACACAAATGTATATGAATTTGGTCTGATGGTGTTTTTGGCATCAAATCGAAAAAGTAAATCGTTCCCGGGTCTAGGTCTTACCATAAGACCTACGGTAATAGCTTATTCCCTATATGGGAAATTCGAAGACGTATGTGTAATTTTATTGTAAAATTGTAATCAGCTGTTAACATTTTTTGTACTTGTTCTTACAAGTATACAAATTATTCTAGCAACACCTGTAATTGATAAATTGTAATTACAGGGACCTGTAAACTATATAAACTTGTACTTGTAGTTTTATGCAATAGGCCCCGGTTGCACTTACTGTTCTTACACTTACTGTTGTACTGTTGTTCTTACTCAGGCCTAAATAACAGCCAGAAATGTAGGTACAACAATTATCTGCTAGATTCACTTTTCGGGCACTGTATGAATATACGATCATTGTTTTTATTCAACACAGAATATTACCAGAAATGTTTGCACGAACACTCGTTAAGTCAGTAATTTTCTTGAAAATGAAAAACATTCCTCTCCAACGACTATGCGCATATTCGAGGGGCGCAGGGCGGAATGGCTCATTAATTTTAACGTTTTCCCTAACAAGGCATTTGGCTCGGTGCCCAGGGACGCGCTCCAATTTTCCCGCAAAATTAATCCGGAAAATTGAATTTATTTATTCGCTGGAAAGCGAGAGTGAACTAAAGCTTAGCCCGCCACTCCATTGTTACATGTAGGACTCGTCACTGCGATATGTAGCTATGACGTCATACAGGTATGGAATGGCGATGATATGTTGCGGTAGATGTATAACATAATATGACTATAACAACAAGTGTTTACAATTAATTTCTTTAACTAAAATTTTTGTCAAGTTCAGGCAAACTAATTAATTACTACAGGTTGATTTTAACATTCAAATTCTGTTTTTTGTGCAAATTAAATGTTATAAAATAAAAGTTTAAGTGCGAATGAAGTGCATTATTCTGGTTGCATTATTCTGATCTTTGGAACAGTAAACGAAAAAAAAAAATCAATCCATTTCACGTATAAAACTATGTAACATTGTAAGTACTCAAAGTTAATGTAAGTGTATTGAAATATGCGTTTGTGGCGTGACTGTATACGATGACAAGACGTTATTATAGAGTGTGACATCACCACTTTGAAGTTTATGATACCTATCACAAAACTTGAGTTTATCGAAAATGTGTTTTTCATTATATTTGACTTAAAGTGCATTGATATATATTGTGCTTCGATATTTTTATTAAATTATTTAAAAAAATTCAAAAGTGTAAATTAAATATCAAATATGTAAAAATGTAGCCAAAGAGTCCACCTGTAAAATGGATGTTATTATAAATGTCTAGTGATATACCGGTACCTTGAAATATCTTTTTTATAAAACGTTTGTTAGATATATTCTTAAAGCGTTTGCTGTTTCGGCGTTATCTTGTTATATACATAGTAGGCCTAAGACTAATTTAATATCATGCTGATTTTCAAACAATAGGCCTAAACATTGTTAAAAACTGTTTGTCCGTAGGTTCCAGTAGATGTCTTGCTATCTGCTATCTTCTTCCTCATCCAAACTTTTACTTTTGCATTGATTATGTGGTTTAAACGAGATTATGTTTCGGCATTGTTTTAAACAAAGTTTGTTAGTGTTTTATTGTTATTTTTTATACAATTATTAATCTATTCATCTTGACCCTGTTGCTGATTACAACAACGATAACTAGCCTAATAATGTAAGGGACCTAAATGCTGGTTTTGTTTGTTAAATAATCACTTTAAAATATTGGGTTCTTCTAGGTATCTCCTACACAGTATAAAAATGTGTTATTGTTTTAATGTAATGCGAAACCATTTCACGAGAGCTGAAATATTTAATTGGGAAAGCGTATGAAGGAAATGAAGATATATTGGTATCGGAAGACGGAAGCATTCTGCAAAATTACGACGTAAATGTCAGATCGCGAGCGTGGCGGCCATTTTGTCAGTGCCATTTTACCCAGTTCCGGTTCCGGGTCGAGCGCTCCTAAACGCCGGAACACCAGTGAACAATTATTGCTAATTTATGAAGTCAGTTGAATTGTTTGACATTGTTCCTTTCCGTAATATGTTTGCGATTTGTTCCACCATTTCATATTGTTTATGATGCGAGCTGATATAAACCCTCTATTGTTTAATTGTAGCAGTCAAACAAATGTACAATATATACTGGTAGAGGCTAGTAAACTGATATAATTGTTGCATTACAGTACATCTAGCGGTCGATCAGTTTTTGTATGATTTGATTATGTAATTATACCTTTCTTGATCTTTGCCCACGTGAGGTCAACAACGCAAAACATAAAAAGTACAAATGACCATATATTACAATGCGGATGAGAGTTTGTTTCCTTTTTTCGTTGCACTAAACCTTGTTAAATTACTATTTAATATTTTACTGCAAAATAAGGACAGAGGGTTAACAAAAAGCTGTAACTTACTCACTGAACAGCTTAGTAATACATGGCCATACAATCAGTTGATTTTGTAGAATAGTGACTTTGTTGTTATATTCGAGTTCTCTAGCAGTGTGATGACCAAGGAGACTGGACAAAGGCTGCAGTGGGTGACACTAGGTCCGGCACACGACAGCTCGGCTACCTCGAGGACAAAGGGCGACAAATCGATTACCCAGGTAATGCGCCTTTTATTGAGTGTGTTATTGAGTGTTTTGCGCCCCAGCGCACAGCTGCTCGTAGTCACCTGTCCGGTGGCGCCCCGCCGAGCTCGGCGCCCTGCAAACAACGTCCTCTACAGGAGCTAATAATCACTTCTCCGACAGAATGTAGGTTAAACGACTTGAACAAGATTGGTTTCTTTTGAAATCACAGAGAATGAGCTCCAGAGGGCGTTATAACTTGACACCAGGACGATACACGTTTTGTGTAGAACAGTAAGTTACCTTACTGAAGAAACATGAATTCTTTCCAAAACCTACTGTCTCTGCAGATCTTACTTGAGTGTAAAGTATATTGTACAATATGTAACCAGTATGTTGAAGTTGTGTCAAACAGTCGAGAGAATATCCTCACGTCACGGAGTATGGAGGCTTTACTGAAATATATCAACGCTAATATATCAACACTCTTCAAATGGTGCTACTAACGTTTATGTGCGATAACATCGAGGAATACTCGCTCTGGATAGTCCACGCTGGAAATACATCGCACGACAAGTGTTTATAATAAATAATTTCTAATAAGAGCTAACAGCATGCCAATCGTTCCCATTAGATACATAGAAACACGAACCTAACTGACGGTGGCGCCTACAGAATACTGAGCTGCTCTGCGGCTGGGTGCAGGAAAGAGTGTACCGTTTGTGCGTGTAACGATACCAGGTAACAAAATACATGTAGGCCTATAACATGCTATTATTTTCAATTTAATGGTGATATGTTTTGCTCGTGAAATGCTTTTATTATGCTATTATTGCTCTGACATAGTAGGTTCGCCTAAATTAATGAAAATAAATTTATTTTATTTTATCGTAGCATTTGATTCCCTACTTTTAAATTCTATAAAATCCTAAAATTTAAACTGCCTGATTGACAAAGTTTTGTTGTCTTAAAAGATGAATCTTTGTTTAATGAGAACTGTTTAAATTTATCTAAAGTCCTTCTCATTTAGTAAACTATGTTTCATAAAGTCGAAGGAAAGTTAAATTGTTTTAAAAATAGTTGTTTAGCCTCCGGATTACTGTATTATACTTAAAATGGTTTACAATACCTGCATATAGTAATCCTTTGTTACTGATTTTGGCAACTAGTTTCGGTTCATTATTGAACCATCTTCAGGCCTCAAGGTGTCAAATAATCACTTCAGTCTAGACTTTACCTCAGCCCGGTCACGATCGATTGTCAATGTCCCTTCGTGTTTTTCGTGTTTTTTGTAATGTGTGTCCGTTCCGTGTATCGTGTTTTGTATATGTCTTATTTATTGAACTCTGTTATTAACGACCTTCGAATGAAGTGATTATTTGACACCTTGAGGCCTGAAGATGGTTCAATAATGAACCGAAACTAGTTGCCAAAATCAGCAACAAAGGATTAGCCTACTATATGCAGGTATTGTAAACCATTTTAAGTAAATTGTTTTATTAAAATGGTTTTGTCATGTGCTATGGGTGGGAACTCTCATTCATGGAGATGAAGATGTCGAGAGTGATGTGGTCACCGCAGGAGGCCAGGGTACGAGCCTAGCAGCTGCCCTGGCTATTTCACACCAGTTACCCGCGCCGACCTAATGTCTTGATGAATGACTTGGCAGCCAAAAGGGCGTCTTACTAAAAGTGTCAGAGAAAACAGCGGATTTGTAGAAACAGAACTACTCCTCAGTGACAAAAGTACAAGTAAAGTATACCTAACTTTATAAGCTTTGATTACACGTGGCCAAGATACCATTTGTCATTGGTATATCTATTAATGATGATACAATCACACCTAGGCTATGAGCTTAACAATCAAAAGGTTGTCGGACCGAACGGTTACGCACCTAGGTGGCGTATCCATCGCAGTTGATAATGATAACAATGTTAACACATGTGTAGCATCATGTATGTGTTAGACAGTGGGAAGAGAAGACCACGATTTGTGTTGTTTTTACAGAATACAATTTTGTTTAATGCCAAATGCATTGAAACAGACAATAGAATAGTAGAATACTGAAATGTTTTAGTTCTGTTGGCGATGTATTGAATTCGGGACATGAAATTGTGTTTATATTTGTGATTCTGATGAGTAATCTATACTATTGACTATACACCTCTACAGAGGTATATAGTCTTACCTATCTGAGGTAGGTAGAGGTGTATAGTCAATGGCTATACGCTACAGTACCCACTTACCTTGGGATGGGATGGGGGGTTGTACGTAATACACAATTTCACATCAATCGGTCCTGGTATCTTTGAGAGTCAATTCTGGGATTTTAGTTACAAAAACATCCAAACTTTCATAAAGACTTTAGCATGCCCAAAATCACTAAATGACATCCGCTTAACAACGGATATAAATAATAATCAATTAAGCAAAAATAAAATATACGGCATTTCGCACTAAATTTCACAATTAATTTTTAACAAGCATAAACAAAAACAGTAAATGGACGTTAGGTACTCGTATGATGAAGTATCGTCTTGATCATCAAAAGTTTTCTTAAGTTGTTTTCTTATAGTTATAGTCTCTTTTATTCATACTTCATTTATAAAAATTATTTGTTTACTTTTTTGTTCGCTCAGCTCAATTGGCGGACCTGAGGCCGCATACCTATTTAAAAATAATTCGTGTTAAACAAAAAGTAACATAACTTGTAGTAATTGTGTAAACTGACAAATTAAATGTAATGCCAAAATATGCACAGTTAAAGGAAACGTATTTGACGTTAGATAAACTACCTGTTACCCACGTTTGACTTCATAGGTATTAAATACCCCCGCCGCTGCAAACCTTCAGACTAAGCGAATGTCCATTTGCCTGAATTGATTTTAAATAACTAGGGTTAACGAGTACCTAGCTAGGTTTGCTGCTACAGGGAGGCTAATAAAGTGTGTTTTAGTAAAATATTAGTTGCTTTAGTATAAAATAAATAAATTTTCCAAGTTTGATCAAAATATTTCTATAAACAAGCAAACTACAACATTTTACAATGTTCACCATAAGATTGGATGACATTTGTCTAGTGTCCCAAGTTATGTATTATGATGGATCGAAATTTTGATATGGAGAAAATAAATTTAATTTGATGGAATACAATCCTGATTTATTAGTTGCCTACCTCACATCTATGAGTGGATTTAAGTATATAGATAATAGTCCATATACACAAGAAATCTATGTATTTAAAAGAAATGAAGATAATCTATTGGTTGGTGCTTTTGGTAAAATCTTTACATTTCAAGGCAGTGCTAATGCAATAAAAAATGAATAAAATTGCATACGAACTTCATAAGCCTGCAAAAAGAATTTCGTTAAAAGGTCTTTTAAAGTAGTGGGTATAAACGAAACTACACAAATAGATTAAATTGATATGCAAAGCTATGCTTGAGAGAATTCTGGCAATCCTTACAGCAGAACTGGTCGGCAGGAGAGTTGCTGGCAACGCCAGTTTGGCGTCAGCATCCCCAACGTTTCCTGCACCGTTCCCAGCTCCGCTTGCCGAAGGAGATCCTAAATGGGGAAACTCCTTAGTGCATTTGAACTTTGAAGGGCGCAGGTGGCGGAGATGTCCTCACATTTTTCGGTGGTGGCGACCTCTGAACCTTGGAGCTACGGACAAAAGGGTTCTGCTCCACTTCCAACGTCTTTTCTGGCTCATTTGAGCTCTTTATCGAAAATGTGTTTTGGGGGTTTTTATTTAAAGCCATCGTGTTTATTCCAGCGCATCGTGCGGCAAGGAGCGATCCGGAATCAGTCAGGAACGGGTATACCCTCGGGGACAGCGCCCCTACCCCAGTTCCCCGGGGCCCAACCTCCGTTTGCCCAGCACCGGATACCTGACGTGCCGGGGGTTGCACTAGGGAATAAATATATGCTCTTACGAACAAATTTTGCTTTTATTTGTGCTTGTAAACTGCTACAAGGGGATTGTTCATAAAAGCGCGCTCAATGCTTTAGTAAAAATGTAATCAGACAAGTTGAAATTCGCTTATTCTGCAGATTGGTGCGGTGGGGGTATTTATAAATTAAGTTTTAATTTTCAAAAAGTCTTAACAGCCGACGCTATCGATAAGCTGCAGGATGTCAGTGGAAACCAACCATAAGTATCCCAGTAGTACTGCATGGTTAAGAAACTTGGGCACTGGCCAAAAAACTAAAAAACCTCATTGCTGGATTTGAGAATAAAGGGCGGAAAAAATATGCGGACCAGTTCAAGATAACAGAGGTTGAGATATGAAAGAACAGAGAGCTAAGCGAAAATGTGAAAACACCCTGATTATAGAGGTGCTTTCCAAAAATAAAAGGCTCGGACCAGCATATAATCGGAGGAAAGAAATTGATGGTCCCGTGCCATTTGTTTACAAGATGACTTTCCTCCTTTATAACTCCAGAATTTGTCTTTATGCGTATAAACTAGCTGTTCTGAACTATATTCATTTTTAATTGACTACTCGATTCCCGTACGTAGGATGGGCAAACAGCTCGTCATTAAATAAAGTTATATAATACATAAGAACGAGTTTATACAGTATTGTTCTAATTTAGATTTGTCAAATATATGTTTACTGTAAAAATATATTGTTGATGATTTTATTTATAAAACACGTGCAAAGTGCATCTTTAATGCTGTAGGGGCGTTGAAAAAAGATACCCCTGTTAATTTTCTCTTTCCTATAATCACAACCGCAAAACCAATTTTTTCAGTGATGAAAGATGCTAGAGAATGCTTAATGTCCTCTCCAAAGTAATATAGGTACTCTCCGAAGGCGTTGAGTGATTGGGTCGGATTATGCATGACCACCAAGACTATCTACACTAACAATTAACTATACAGTATGATAAGATGACTCTGAGTCCTTAACCACTCCTGGTGGATTTAATTGATATAACACTCTTTTTTTCTTTTCAAACATTAGTTGTAAGAAATAACCAATATTAAACGTATATTCGGATAAATAATATAACACAAATAGAACCAACATGTTCCATAAAATAAATTATATACGTAAGCTATGATTTTATAAATTTTATAGAAATTTCAATTAACAATGAAAACTATTAATTTATTTAGTTTGGTACCATACGTAATACTGTCGTATTTATGGTTGTTGTTGGATCAAAATGATGTAAACTATTTCACCAGTTAAATTGGAAAGTCTCGTTACTTGACACCACCTTCAGGAAACGGTTGTCGTCTGAGGTGGCTAGGGACGAGGGGCTTACTGCGGTTATGAGCCAGCAGCCAGTCGGCCAGCCACAACATGGGCTCTAGAGGCTTCTCCTTCACCAACTGGGCAAGACCTTCCTTTAGCAGAGGACGAACCTCTTTGTTCAGGAGGTTGAGACCAGCTTCTAGATCGGGAATCGGTTCTAACAATGAGTTGGGGAAGAAGAAAAGAATCTCCCTCCGAGCTATTGGCAAGTCTCTACTGGCATGCATTGCGGGAAGATTGCACTCATAGTTACCAAACTGGGAGTTGAGGGACCGTGGATTGTCTCGCTGTGCTACTACGACGTCCATAGGTCCTACAATCTCCACAAGCTTCTCCACTGCATCCTCTCTACCCAAGCACACCACAGTAACCGGAGCTGAAGACATGTAAGCGACTAGGAGAGGGAAATCTCGTCTGCCGTAGAGACCGTGATAGAAGTCACTCGCTTGTTCCGGAGTCAGATGTACATATCTTTGGGACAGAATTGTAAAACATTGTTCTTTCAAAGTCCTGATGATTTTCTTCACGTTAGTCATTCCCTCTGGAAATATTATAGCGAGAGTATGTTCGACACTCATACTAATTTGTAACGCAGGATGTATAAAATATAATTATACTGTAAATAAACAAACAATCTAGTTTACGTATACAATATAGTTTACGTATATATCAGATGATAAGTTTGTACTTAGTTATTCGCGTTTTTTACTTACTCTATTTCAATCCACCATTAGTGCATTGTCAACATAAAACACAATTAATTATTACCCCCATAAACACCCGTTCCCGTAATCCGATCATGCTGGTTCGCGAACTCATTGAATAAATGTAGGTTTAAATTCCGAATTTTAATCAAAATCGGATCATTTTTGCTCGAGTTATCGTGCTATCGGACACATATAAATATATATATGAATTTGAACAGATGGAGTTTTTGGCCTCTAAGTTACCTCAAAACGAAAAAGTGAATCGGTCCCGATTCCAGGGGCCCATTTCATAATAAACTACAAGTTACAAGTTACAACTTGTAACTTGTAATTTCCATTAGATTTGCATTGGGCGATCAGCTGATTTACTAATAATATTAGTTTGTACTTTATTATGAAATGGGCCCCAGGTCTTACCATGAGTACTACGTTAATAGCTATATGGGAAAATTGCTAAAACAGGACGAACACACGAAAACACGAATACACAAAAAACACAGCACGTACACGGCTTAAAAACTGATGACAGAGACTCACGTATCCCTCAAATAGTAGAATCAAATTTTCAATGATACTAGTGAACAGTGTCATCGGGCATGAACTAGACACAAAACATGAGCTTCAAAATTTTCAACGTTTGAGAAGTCTACTTGTGTTGGTTAGTCTATGATCTGAAGTCAATGACAAAGCTACACAGATCATCTCACCCCTTTCTACGTGATTCTACACTCATCCTCATCGCAGAAAGGACTAAGCAAGAGACAGACCCTCGTCACCCATTACACGGCCACCAACCTGCAGAGTGACGGCTTCGGTCCAGAAAGAGCTTTTTATTACGGACACGAGTCCTGGGGCCCATTTCATAATAAAGTACAAACTACAGTAATATTATTAGTAAATCAGCTGATCGCCCAATGCAAATCTAATGGAAATTACAAGTTACAAGTTGTAACTTGTAACTTGTAGCTTATTATGAAATGGGCCCCTGGATGGATCACTCTCAAGCAATCGGGTGGCAAGGTGGGAGGCCACGTTGACTAACCCTCCTATACCAGCCAGGGGGGAATTGGCTCCTGGTGGAGGCCTGCATTACACGGTGTGGAAGACCCTAAATCGAATCAGGGTCGAGGTACCGAAATGCAAGACAAACATGCAGAAATGAGGTCTCTTACCGGACGAAGAAAACATCGCTTGTGTGCGTGTGGTGCTGTTCAGTATCCTTGCCATCTGCTGATCTGTCCACGCCTAGACCAGCCTTGCACATTAGATGATATTTTAAAAGCGAATGACAAAGCCATTACGGTACCTAATTTTTGGAAAAGCGAAGTCTGATTTACGGACACAGAAAGTAAGTAAGTACCCAGATAGCACGTAAGCTTGATTCAAACCTTGAATTACGCTTGCTTTTACTTGAAATGACAGCTTTGAATTGTCACTTTAGATTCAAACTCGAGTCAAGTGTCAACTTCATGTAACACACTTGAATTACGCTTACAGTGGATTGAATTAACAGCTTTGAAATGTCACATTAGATTCAAACTGGATTCGAGCATACACAACATACTACCATTACGCTTGCACTTGCTTGTATTAACAGCTTTGAAATATCACATTAGATTCGAACCCGAGTCGAGTGTAATATTACCCACAATGCACTTCCATTACGCTTACGTTGGCTTGAAATTACAGCTTTTATGTATCACGTTGGATTCGAATTGGAGTCGAGTGTAAGTTACCCACAATTCCGAGCGGGAACGACGCTAACGGTGGGACGTGGGAGTGGTGGGACCGACACTTGAAGACGACATCGGCCATATTGCTTTGTCTTTGTGTATTTTTGTGAGTGATTCATTCTCAATCTCTCTCATTGAGAATATCGATATTGTGGTGCTGAGTTGTTCAAGTTATTATTTATTGTTGAAGCTGATTTGTTATTAAGTTTCATCTAGGCATATTTCTTCTTATCCATCAAGGTAAGTTCTTATTAGGCCTAGCACAAACTAAGTAAACTCAAGGATTGTGACTAACAAAATCAAATCATCTTAAATACGAGAATAGGCTAGGAAGAAATTAAGTAAACTCAAAATCAGTGAAAATTTTGAAAGAACTAAGTATAGCCTAAAGCCCAAAGCAAGCCACTTTTGAGTTGGTCAGCCTACGTGCAATGAGTAGCCTAGCCTAAAAAATAAAAAGGTTAGAGGTGAAGTGTATTTATAAATATGACCGATAATTTGTTGTCAACTTATCGGCCTAACTTAGTTTGTTTGAGTTGTTTGTATGCCTAAAAACATTTTTTTAACCAGCTTGGATATCAAGTTCTCCATGTAAGATAGGTAACTTATTGTGGTTTGGTCTAACTTAGGCATTGTCTTCACTGTTTATAGGCCTAGTATAGACTATGGTAAGTTATAGCCTAGATTCGCCATAATGGGCCTAAGTTACGTTGTAGACTATTCTATAAAGCTGGGTTTTTCTAGGCGGGGAGAGAGTAGCGTGGAGAGTGAACTCCTCTTGTCTTAAATAAGTTAAGTTAGTTTAATGTTACTGTTTTCCTAGAAGCGGAGCGGAATGCCATGTTAATCGATTTTCCGCTCTCCGCTCTCCTCTTCCGCGTCTAGGAAAACCCGGCTTTAGACTTAACTTAATGCCATATTTTAGGTACTTACGTATTAAACGGAGGCCACCTAACCTACAGATTCGATTCGATTAGTAAACCTTAACCATCAGCAAGTTTGGTTGGTTAGGTTAGGTTAAGATAGTTTAATTTGATAAAAAAACATATATTTATGATAACCCAACCTAACATAACCGCTGCAGCGCGCTGTAAAATATGTGGCCTCCGTATAATACGTAAGTACCATATTTTATACCATGATATTTTAATGTGTAGGTAACTTATAACGTAGGGCTAGGAACTTAAAGCTAAGTTACTTCAGTAGCCTACTCGATATTTAAGCCTACTTTGTTAGTGACACTGTCGGATAAAATGCAGTAACCTACGTTTAATCGCAGTAAGAGTCTGGTCAGCTATCAGACGATGAGTATCTGATATAGGCTACATTTCTTCTCCATTAAACTAAAATTGGCATTACGTTAACTTAACTTTGATTTAGTCCACTTAACTTAAGGCCTATTTTGCTTGGAGCGACTGTAGCGATAGTCGCACAGCGATTATCGCTCAGTTGCTTAGAACGATTGATTTTCGGTCGTCGCACGATTTTTCATAGTTATTTGAATACCAGCACTCACAATGGTGAGGTCATGAGTGTGTGTTGTAACTTTTTAAAGTATCTACTCCGGGAGGAGTAAAAAAAAAAGGCTCTACTTGACCCTAGTGGAAGTATCAATAGACGATCGATAGAAAATACATAGTGATACGTAGGATTTGGGACGGATACGTATCACTAGATGTCACTAGGTAGGATATAAATAGAAAACTGTAGTGATATCAATAAAAAAAATATATTTATATCAATAAAAACAAATTAGTGATATCAATAAGAGTAGCCTACATAAATGTCGGAAAATAAATCTTGGAGTCTAAATAAAAAATATTTATTCATACGAAAAAACTGATAGGTACACTAGGTACAGTATTAAAACCCACAACTAAATAACACACATCAAGCATTTTATATTTAAATTCGAATAGACGAGGATTACCTAAAAAAATGTAATCACAACCATTTGAGCAAAAACAATGCAAAGTTTGCTGGTAATAAAGAGTCACCTGTTTCTTCTTCAATTAAATATAGAAAATGAAATTAATGTGTAAGGAAAAATAACCAAAATAGTACAACCTTAACAGCACATGAATGGAATAAGTAATGTGAACAAAAAAGTAAATTATCGCTATTTTAACCCGTAGGCTATTATTAATGTGCTACTGAGTGAACTGGACTGTTTTGAGGTTCTGTGCAGTGCATGTTTTTACCGTGCATCAGTCGCGGCACGATTATCGCTCAGACTGGTACCCAGGGCAGTGGTCCGCGTCTGTAGCTAGCGACTCTTGCAATAGTCGCTCCAAGCAAAATAGGACAACGCAAACTCCGTCAGAGCAGTGCCCAGCTACTACTGCGGAGCGATTATTGCCAAATGACTATCGCTGCAATCGCTCCAAGCAAAATAGGCCTTTAAGCAACTTATTAAAATCAAAATTAAGAAAAATGCAAACGAACTTAAACCTAAATAAATAAGTAAATTACTTATTTAGGTTTAAGTTCGTTTGCATTTTTCTTAATTTTAATCCTTTAGCCTATAGCAAAATAGGCTAGTAATTTACAATACATATAAAAATAAATTTGGTTAAAATGTTTTTCGTGGACCCAACAAAAAAATGCTTGCGGACCTCACTTTAAGAGAAACTCTGGCCTAAGTTAAACTTAATATTTTATATCGAATGAAATATTTTGATCTGAGTCAAACATTTAAAGTTATAACTTTACTTAAGTATTTTATGGAAAAATAACGTACTCCTAACTTAACTTAATATTATATTAAGATAGGTACCTAAGTTAAATTATCGAATAAAAGTTGCATTTGATGATATGAAATAGGCCCTTTGTAGGTTTATTGCAGAACTGTACCTGGGTGTTTTAACATAAATATTTTATAACTAAAATAACTTAGGTCTAGGCTTAAGTTTAGACACAGGTTATGTAATAAAGATCTTCTAAATAAAGTTATACACATCGGCCTACAGCTGGATTATTTTTAACCAGAAGCGGTTAAGTTAACTTAATATTATATTAAGATAGGTACCTAAGTTAAATTATCGAATAAAAGTTGCATTTGATGATATGAAATAGGCCCTTTGTAGGTTTATTGCAGAACTGTACCTGGGTGTTTTAACATAAATATTTTATAACTAAAATAACTTAGGTCTAGGCTTAAGTTTAGACACAGGTTATGTAATAAAGATCTTCTAAATAAAGTTATACACATCGGCCTACAGCTGGATTATTTTTAACCAGAAGCGGTTAAGATATGCACTGTAGGGGTGGCACAATTAGTTTTTATTTCACCTGCGGAATTTTAATACGGGCAAAATGAGAGTAAAGAAATAAAAAAAATTATAATTTGTGTAATATAAAAATTAAACTGTCGTAACCTAACCTAACTAACCAAACTTGCTGATAATGGAAAAATCAAATGAAGGTTTACTAATCACTACTGACTAATTTACTACCTTTAGTCCATCAGGGACGTTGAATATTAGGATCGGTCTATTTTGATCGCCCTACCGGCGAAAGTACAACCGATCAGTAGCGAACTTGTCAAACAGTTGATTTATTAAAATATTAAGAATGATATGAAAGTAAAATCTTGAAACTTCAGAAATTAAACCTAACCCCAGGTTTGAAATGGGAAGACAAACTTTAGGTCTTAGGGGTTAAATGTAGGCTACTATTCTGTAGGCCTATTAAGTTCATTTTAAGTATTTTTTTTTTTTTTTTTTTTAGCTGCTGCACAGAAAATGTTCGGCACAAGTGAAGCCACGGAAGCCAAAGTTACAAGCGTTGTTGCTAAGTGGCTTCAGCAAGCCAAAACCAGATGTGAAAGAAGGTAAGGATAAAAAAACTAACTATTCAACTCATCATTAATAGAATTCCATTGGTAGCCTAATAATTCTGTACCGGTACAGTGGACTCTATTATACAGGGGAGGAGACAGTTGAAACTGACGTGCCTCATACTTGTTACATGATAAAAGTGTAATGCAAAATATATAAGCCATTAATGTTAATTCTGTAAAAATAGCCAAACTATAGACACTTTGGGATAGTTACTGTAAACAAAACACAAGATGCCAAGACTTTACCTTTTAAATCTTTTGATCTTAAGGCATGTGATGAATGGTCTCAAATCAATCCTACAACCCATTTTTACCCCATAAAACCCCCCGTAAAACCCCGTTCCCATGGTCCAATCATGCTGGTTCGCGAACTTATTCAAGTTTATCCCGCCTTACACCTTCAAACCCAATTTCATCAAAATCTGACAAAAATTAACTTACTCAAGTTATCGTGTTCACGGACATATATATATATGTATATAAATCTATATACACATTATATAAAAATGTGAACGAATGGTGTTTTTGGGCTCTGGGGACATCAAAATGAAAAAGTAAATCAGTCCCAGGCCTAGGTCTTACCATGCCACCTACGGTAATAGCTACTTCCCTATAGGGAAATTCGCCAAAAGAACAATGCTAGTATTTTTATTCTTGTAGAGGGGTTTTAATGTTTCATAGCAATGCTGGGCTTACCTGGGTTAATTTATATAGTAAATGAAAGCTTATATATATTTGTAAAGTATGAGCAAGATTTGTAACAAATGTCTTGGCTATATTTAGGATAACCAATCAAGAACTATCACTAGTTTTATACTTAAACGATAAAATATAAAATCTCGCAGATTCACTGAAGTAATGTGAAAACAATCCTGGGCTTGTTTCTAGCATTTTTTGACAATAAAAATGTAATTGTGTTTTATATCAAATCAAATCAAATCAAAATAATCTTTATTCATTTTTATATATACAATATGTATACATAAATGGCGTATGTATACGCTAATATGTATACATAAATACATATTAATAATTAATATTAATATTATTGGGAAGATCATATATTGTATTTGTATATCATTGTAGGAATAAATTAATTTTCATTAAACAGGCCTACACTGGTTGTGAGTTAAACTGTGTTAGTTTAAAATGTTGCTTACTTGCCTATTTTTTATACCAGATACAAAATTAATCATTTTGGTTAATTATCCTTAAATTTAATATTGATTCTATTTGTTTTGACTTTTTTCAGAGGGAAAAAACCTGCCTTTGTGGACAGTGGGGAAGAAGTTCCACTCAATGGGGATGAAGATCTTGTTGAATAGATATAACTTACTCTGTATTATTAAAGTAATCGTAAAATGAGGAATTTTTGAGGGAATTGTTTGTTGAAAGTTAAAGATACGAGGCATTTTCAAATGTAAATGAGTTATGTAAATCTTTAATATAAATCTATTTAGACAAATTACCTCTTGTGTTTTATTTTTAATTTCAAAGAATTCTGAATTCTACGTACTGAATAGTAATAATATGTAAAATTGTAGGGTTGAAAACTAAAATAACTCATGTTTTCCTGCTCTTTTATAAAAATAAGTTTTTAGATGGTATCTCGCTTTTTTATTTGGAGAAGTGTCTTGGCATTTAACAACTAGAGGCATTGAAGTTATTAGATTATGTTATGATTGTGAAAAATTATCTGAAATATTGGAAGATTATATTGTGCTATGCATCTCAACCTAAAAAATATGAAATTTTTATTACATGTGTCAAGACTGTGTGAATCCTGGTAAAAGCATATGAATTAAATTTTCAGAAATAAAAAAGAGCTTCTAAGTGGCTAAAAAAGAATTATTTCTTGTACTCTTCAATTTATATTCAAATTAGATGTTTCAATTTTTCAATTGACATGGTTTAGCCCCTGAGCTGAATTAATTGATGACTAATATAATATAAATACCTCGTCACAGCTCTGTAGTTTTTGTAGATTAAAGCTGTTTTGGCATCAAAATGCCATCCTCAGATATACATACATCCACCTGAATTGGCGTCGTTAAACTGTACACATACACGAACACGATAAAAACACAAAAACACGTAAAACAAGAGACAGGCCTGTCGCGTACATGATTGCTACGAGTACGGTCAGCTTCCGTACTCGTAGCAATCATGTACGCGACAGGCCTGTCTCTTGTTTTATGTGTTTTTATCGTGTTCGTGTATGTGTACAGTTTAACGACACCAATTCAGGTGGATGTATGTATATCTGAGGATGGCATTTTGATGCCAAAACAGCTGTAATCTACAGACACTACAGAGCTGTGACAGGGTATTTATATTATATTAGTTTCAATTTTTATTCAAATTAGAAATTTCAAGTTTTATTAAAATTGGATCTTTAAAGTTTTATTCAAACTGGAAGAGCGGGAACTTCGACGCATGATTTTAACTTGAATCAAGTTTACAAACCCGATCCTTCAAGTTTGCAGATTTGACAAACCAAACTTATTTCAAGCTTGAATCAAGTATTTTTCAATTTATATTTAGATTAGATAGTTCAAGTGTTATTCAAATTAGATGTTTAAATTTTTATTCAAATTAGAAATTTCAAGTTATATTCAAATTAGATGTTTTAAGTTGTATTCAAACTGGAAGAGCGGGAACTTCGACGCATGATATTAACTTGAATCAAGTTTACAGACCCATCCGAGCAAACTTGATTCAAGTTTGCAGATTTGACAAATCAAACTTGTTTCAAGCTTTAATCAAGTATTTTTTGCTATCTGGGTACACTGATCCTTTACACCTTTACTCATATTTGGGTTAAATACGAACTTAGGTGGCGTCTCCAACTCAATAATTGATAATTGATGGTTTATGATGATAATAATAGGTGGATTCAATTTGTAAATACAATTTTTTCGTACTAACAAGTTACTATGCGAGAAGCGGCCTTTAAACAGCGAAGTTTGTTCTAAACATTAAATGCTGCAGCTGCATGGATAGACCCCACAACCTACCTAAACAACAGAGAGAGGGATAAAAAACTTCTTTCCCAAACACCTAATTTAACAGCTGACCGTTAAAATTTTGTTTATAAATTAATAAAAACGAAACAAAGTAAAGTTTAAAGTAGTAAACAGACAACAGGGCAGCCGATTAGACTATTATTTATTAAAGTTAAAATTTAAATCTAACTCGAACTACCAACTACGAAACGAACTAGGAAGTACGAACTGTCAACTGTGAGTGAGTTAAATCAAATATTTGGTGGGTTTTTGACTGTTGAGTGACATAAACATTTAGGAATTACTTGGGAGACGAATTTGTTATTGCACCTTTACTAGGCTAGGATTTACTGCGGGTACAACTGCCCATTGCCAAAAAAATTAATTAATTAAAATGAAAAAATACACGCAATAGCAACAAAAAAAAACAACTACCAAAATATTTATAGGTTAACTTAAGGGGTGACATTTTTGGCACTTCTTAACTTCAGGTAACTTAGGCCTAAGCTATTAATCTAGTCTACTTAGCATAGCCTAAAAGCACTAAACACTGTTGAATCCAGCTTTAAAACGTAGACCTACTCACTTTTACTTTAAGATATAGTCAATGCTTCTAGTTTCTGAACCTCGTTTAGCCTAAGCTAAAAGGATCCATGATATTGTTTGGTTTATGTAAAGGCCGACATAAATAATTTGTTTCTTAGGAGAGTAGGCTCTGGTTCATGTTATTTTATAACTTGACCCTGTAAATTAGACCAAATGCAAGAAAATGTTAAGTCAAATTGTATAATTCCTACAGTAGTTATTACTCTTGGGATAGGGCTAGACCTTAGTTTCCGTTTGCTAATGAATATCACACTCATTTTATTTGATACCACTGCAGTTATGACCTGTTACTTCAGTATTAGGCATATGAATCCTGCAAACGGGTGACTTAGTTTACATCTTTTAAGATTGCAATGTTGGTTAAATCAATTAAACCTAAGTTTAACATGTAGGCCTACAGGAATTGCAGCTACGTTGTTAACACCATTTAGCAGTCATTGTAGGCTATAGGCTAAGGTTATTTGTCTAGACTGTTAGACGTTAGACTACATCTCGACTTGAGTATTAAGCTTAAACTAAACATGAGCAACCTAGGCTAACACCTGATGATTAGACCAATCCTTAAATTACAAAACAATAATGTGTTCCGTATTCCACTAACTTAATAACTTTTGGTCCCTTAGTTGCCTTTGGCTGTATAGGCTATTAAGCTAATTGTCAGCCTTTGTAACAAGACTACAAGATTGCACCACTCATCCTCCATTCATACTTGGCTTTAAATACTCCTTTGTATGGTCGCCATTTCAGTCAAAAGTATTAAATTATTAACCTGACTACACAACACCTAGAACTAACATGTTAGCCAATAGATGTCAAATAAACTGTTTAAATCAAACTGCGAAATGGTGAAATTTTAAAATATGGGGTGACCCGTTGAGTCATAAACATTTAGGAATTAATTCTGAGAACAAATTTTTTATTGCACCTTTACTAGGCTACCTATTTTTCCATTTCCAACCCCACAATATAACCATAGAAAAAATAATTAGGCCTAAATATAGACCGAGAGCAGTGCTGCGGTTAGCATATAATGTTCTGGGGCGTCCACCGCTAAGAGTGCTGTGAAGTTACGGTACACACCGCTGCAGTATCTGCTGGTATCATACAGCGAGAAGCCGACAAATCTAACACAAAGCACGCTCTAGCGGTACATCTCAAAAGCTTCCTTTTAGCGAATTTCCCTATAGGGAAGTAGCTATTACCGTAGGTGGCACGGTAAGACCTAGGCCCGGGACCGATTTACTTTTTAATTTTGATGTCCCCAGAGGCCAAAAACACGATTCGTTCAAATTTTTATATATGTATATATATATACGTCCGTGAACGCGATAACTTGAGTAATTTTTGTCCGATTTTGATGAAATTTGGTTTAAAGGTGTAAAGCAAAATAAACTTGAATGAGTTCGCGAACCAGCACGATCGGACCATGGGAACGGGGCTTTACGGGGGGTTTTATGGGGTAAAAATTGGTTTTTCTCACTTTTGACCCTCAAAACACAAAATTTCCCAATTTCTCTTCAGACCTTTTTAAAGAGCTTAAAAAAAAAAATAATTTAGTATATAAAAGTATTTTTGTTCGATTATTAGTAACGGAGAAAATTAAAAAAAATTGTAAATTTAAAATTCCCATGTTATTCTTATGGAGAATATTGTCAAATGTTATAGTTTGCTTGTTTATGAATATATTTTGATCAAACTTGGCAAATTTATTTATTTTGTACTAAGCTATCAATATTTTACTCAAAAACACACGTTATTAGTTTCCTTGTAGCAGCAAACCTAGGTACTCGTTAAACCTAATGTTATTAAAATATATTTAACTGAAAATCAATTCAGACAAATGGAAATTCGCTTAGTCGGCAGGTTTGCTGCGGCGGGGGTATTTTTAGTCTACCCTATATTTATTCTCTATGATATGACTTAACATAAAAGTATCTGTGCCAACAACCAAAAGATTCATAACCGGGGCTAAATATGTGTCATTATCTTTACTATCATTCATTTAGGCCTACTAAGATGTTTTCTTAACTGAGCTACATTGAGCCTAGTTGCATGGTCGATTGTCTAGGTTTAATGTAAATCACATCACATTTTTTTATTTAACTTTTTATTAGTTACCTAACCAAGCTGTAATCAATATTGTTAACTATAGATGAGGTGTTAACTATAGGTGAATTAACAATTCTCTTTTTTTCAGAAACCCCATTTGAGCTGACTAAAATATAAATATAAAAATGGAAACCCCTCCTGTGATTTCAAAAACGACTGTATCAAAATCTTTAACAAAACTTTCACTCACTCCTTGCAGAAGAGTTGGTTTGGGTCGGCCGTCTTCAGGTAGTTTACAAAAGATTGCACAAGTAAGAACAGCTAATACTCCATTACATATTTCTTCAATTTCCTCAAGAGAAAATAGTTCATCTATAACTCAAAATAAAACAAATTCAACACCTGTCCAAGATTTAAACCCCCACAGTGTTACTCACAAACATAGTTTTGGACTAAATAAAAACTTTACCAGAGTTAGGCGATGTTTGACTCAAGATATCAAAAGGAATAGTGAAGAGAGTGAATTGGAAACTGGTTATTCTCTGAATGAAACTGAATCAAATGTAGGCAACTGCAGAAGAGATACAAACCTTACGGAGAAGCCAGAGCTTAAAAGACTCAAAATGTCAAAATTTGAGTCTCCAAATACAAACCAGTCAACTGCCAATAAAAAAGAAAACCAAAGTTTATTAGCTTTCAAGGTCTCTCCAATTAAAGAAGACATTTATTCTATTGGGCAAGATGGAGACATTCCTGAGAAAATAATGTTGCAGCTAATGTCCTCCCTTTTAGAGAAAAAAAATAAACTAGACCAACTTAAAGTGCAAGATCTTTACTCCAAAAAGGTAAAACCCCAAATTGTGCTGTTGCCATGACTGGTCCTATGCTCCATTCTAGGTACAGTACTGGTCTAGTGGGAGATAGTTGTGCTACCCATAGTCTGGAAACTCCATGGTAATTGTCATGCTATCCTTGCGTCTCTCGTAAAGAAATTTTTTACAAATATTTAAATTTGTCATGATCCTTTATTCTTATAGTTTAAAGACGGATTAGTATTTTGAGTTAACTTAATGATTTGGATTTTGACTTTGGTACAGGCAAAATTAGCGGTAAAATTCAAGAAACAAAAATATAAAGAATAGCAAGTTACAGGTCCTTATTTTTGTATGTACCATATAATGGCTATTAGTAGGCTACTTAAACATAAGTTTTAAAACAAGGCTTGTGGACCTCTGTATTACATGTTGAACGTAGAATGGAGTGAAGGCTATATGTATGAATTTCAGATCCATGGTAGAAGTAAGGTATGCCTCTGGTTATCAAGGTTAGTTGGGGGTTCATTGATTGATTTGTGAGTAAACGACAGCAAAATGTAAACACAAGGATCAACTCTGCAACAAACAACTGATAATTTGATTCATTCCAAGACTAATCATATTTCAATGACGTGAAATCATTTTTTAATATTAGGTGTTGTGGCACACAGCAACTTTTTTTCCAGTGGTATCAGTGAAAAATCCTCATTGTTAAATTCTCCTTGTGTGGTACGTATCCAGAACTTAACTAAATAGCCAACACAGCTTGCATTTAAAAATAATATATGTCTGCATTACAGGCAGGATGTACAATACTACTTGTTGCATCCCTGAAATATAAATCTCAACAATATTTAGAACACAACGGAATATACTCAGCAGTGCAACAGCTACTTCTTTTGTTACCGCAACAGTACAAAATGTTTCATTCATATGGACCAGAGACGCACATATGCGACAGGTGGTTTCTACCCATAGACTGCCGTCACATATATGCAACGGCTAGTCATATTTGCACCGGTGTTCCAATGTTTTCAAAACGCTTAATTCTTTGTAATGGTCTATTTGAAGGCACTGAATTCTCTGCAGTGGACTATGGGGATGTCTGTCGCACAACTGCATCGCTTGGTCTGTGGATATGATATGATTGGTGACGTCATATGATAGTTGGAAAAACTTTCTTTATTTTGCTGCATCACTGTATGTATCATGATTGTTGGCCACTGGATCGTTAGCACTAATAAGGTTTATGTTACCTAGCTTCTGTCTACGATCCACAGTAGTTTTAGGAAACTGCAACAACATTTACATTTACACGTGTTAACCTATTTCTACAAAGGTGTTTGTTGCTCCTCTGGTCTAGCAGTCAGGGTATGAGACTTTCATAGTGTTGGCCAGGGAAAAAATCCTGCTTTTAGCTATGTGATCTGTGACCTAGCGGTTTTATAAGCCGGTAACAGATCATTCTGTCAAGTACACATAGGATCTGTCTCTTAGTTAAAGAAAAAACCAACACTTGTATTTGGCAAACCATTTCAACGTTTTCAAACCTTGCCAGCATTTTCATTTTTGTATCAAAGATCTACAGTATAATCAAAATACTGGTCGCTGTCTACTTGTACCGGCGTCTAGTTGTACCTACCTCATTTTGGTGACAGGCGTCTAGTTGTACCTCGGCCAAAATCTGTAGGTGTACAACTTGCCGGTGGTGCGGATGTCTAGTTGTAACTACGACTAGTTATCTCTACGCCTAGTTGTACCCTACCTCTTAAAAATCTGCAGGTACATCTTTTCGGGAACGCCACCGTCTACTTGTACCTCATACGTCTGCATTTAGTTGTACCTACGTCTAGTTGTACCTACCTACGGCTAGTTGTATCTCCCCTTCAATGTGTCACCAGTTTCAGGGGTTACTTTTAGAGTTTACAAAAACAACTAATTGAGTATATTACAGTGTTTTTGTAGGGAATTAGTCACAGAGAAAATAAAAAAACTGCAAGTTAAAATATCTATGTTAAATTTATGTATATTACGTAAACTGGTGTAGTTTGCTCAAATAAAATTGGAAAAGGCGTAGAGGTCACGTCCAGTGGTCGAAAACTCGACCGAAAATATTATGTAATGTTTAGACTTCTCTGTTTTAACCCCACACTGTAAATAAAACATGTTATTCAAATTTCTTCTATCCGTTTTGATTTTTTGTATATATTTTGTTATTTCATCACAATCATGGCAACCCATAAGGCATTTTTATGCTAATAAAAAAAATGTTTAATTCATTTTTTATTTTTTTTTTTGCTTATTTTTGAGCATATTTTAATTTATGAAGGAATTCTACACATCTACAGGAAATATTTCCTTTGCCTTTCCAAGTACTGGATCTTTATGATTTTGCTTAGATTAAACAATAGGTCAAATACTCTGTACCAGATTTCAATCACATGTTTTATTTACAGTGTAGGTTGAAAATAGCTGTAGTATACCTCTAGTATACAATAAATGCACACCAATCAACACAACTAACACTTAAAGGTTGTGTGAATAAATATTTAAAAGAATCAGCAAAAATAATAATAAATACAGTAGACTCCCTCTTATCCCGGACTCCTCGGGACCAAGGCCAGTCCGGATAATGGGTTTTCCAGTAAAACCGACGTCCCCAAAAACTCGTTAAAACGGACCATTTCAATGCATATACATATTTGACTTAAATTTAGGAGAGCATTGTATTTAGAAACGTGGTCACTGGTCTCAAATCTTTCCCACAAGAACAGTCGTTTCAGTACCGCCCACTTCCTGCCGATCTAGTTCGGTTAAACCGATGTGCTGATAAAAATTCTCCTGTTAAAGAGATGTCATTTCTGCCAAGTGCAGTACGGTTAAAAGGTGTCCGGAAAAGAGGGAGTCTACTGTAGTTGCTAGGCATTGGTGGCAATTAAACAAGTCTATTGCAATTCACAGGGATACTGCTATCAAGTGGCCAAAAACTCGACCAAAAATATGTAATGTACGGATTACTCTATTTTCACCCCACGCTGTAAATGAAACATGTGATTGGAATTTCTTCCATTTTGTTTTGATTTTCTGTTTATGGCAACCCATAAGGCCCATGTTAATATTTTTTTAACATTTTAAATTCATTTTTTATGCTTATTTTTTTGAGCCTATTTTAATTTACAAAGGGATTCTGCACATCTACAGAAATATATCTTTCTAACAGTATGCATGTTTTTCCCTGTGATGCAAACGAGCTGAGAAAAAAGAGTTTAAAGTACAACTAGACGTAGGTACTACTGGTCGCATCCGTACCAGCTAGGTGCCACATTTGTCAGTGGCATACCAACGTCTAGTTGTACCTACGTCTAGTTGTACCTCTTAAAAATCTGCAGGTACAACTTGTCAGGTTTGCCACCCTTTACTTGTACCTACGTCAGTTGTAGATACGACTAGTTGTCCCTAGGTCTATGAGGTACAACTAGACGTAGGTACAACTAGACAGCGGTACAACGAGACGCGGTCCCCAAAATACATCATACAAAATTTTTTAAGTTCAGGAAACCATAAAAACGTAAACTAAATAAAGAAATACTTAGTAAACCTCTGAATAAAGCCAATGTTGTTATTTGTTGTTAAAATATTTATTTAATATAGGTAAAATAGTGAAGTTGTTGAAAGACAAGATCTATATTCTATTTTGATATAGAAAACAAAAAAAACATTCACTTAAGTCATATGAAACATCATCACAATCGACAATGTAAACTTTATGACAGAATAACAAAATCATAAAAAGTTTTACTTATCTACTTTTTTACAGCACAACCTAGAAGAGTTGAGAGCTCAGTCAAATAGATGGAAAGCTGCAGGTCAGGACGCATTGAGACACTGTGTAGCACTTGCTGAGAAAGCTGGATACTCAATAACAATACTTCAACTTATTGAACGACATGGCTTTCCTGTTCATCTCATGGGATACAACGCTGACGATGATGAGTTTGAATAGGTTTGTCAAGCATTGTCTTTTACTAATACAGTAGACCCCCTCTTAACTGACCTCGCATTAACCGATAAACATTAGTAATTACATCAATAATCGGCATATGTTTATATATTAATATATTTAGTAGTACAGTACCTACTGTATTGCTCAACCAAATATATAAATTTGATTTATTTTCAAATTCTTAGTTCAATTCAATTTAAGATGTATTTCACCAGTTATAACTATATAATCCAATATATTTTGGTCGAAGAGCCTTCAGTGAAATACCGGCTTTCATTTAAGCTATTAGTTGCTCAAATCGGACAAGTTTCAAGCAAACGCAAGGTGAACAACCAACAAAAACATTATTTTTATAAGGTTTTTCTATGATTAAAAAGCAATAGCTCCAGTATTGTTTGTTTTTTTAGACTCAATATAATCAGTAAATTATAGGCTTTAATTTTAGCTATTGATTGTTGAATCATTTAAGTTCAAGATACTGTATTACTCAATCAATCATAAATTTGATTTTTTCTCGGATATAATATTTATTTTAACGCTGCAGAGCAGCATACTTTTTATATAAATACTTTTCATTGAAGTAGCGACCATACAAAGTAGGTATTTTAAGCCAAGTATAAGTGGAGATGAGTGTAGGATGAGTGGCGTGATCTTGTAGTCTTGTTAGTGACTAAGGCCATCATTCCTTAGACACAGCTGTTAATTAATAGCCCATACAGCTAATGGCAACCAAAGGACCTACAGTTTATAGTAAAATCCGAACCACATATTTGCCTTGGTATTAACGAATTGGTATAATTATCAGGATAGTAGACCTATAGGTCCTCTTGTTAAGTATGTAATTAAATGCATGCTTCTCTCTAATAAACTTTTAATCAAAATATTTATCGTGTAGATGTTGGTGATGAAGCCGAGAGCAAATTTTCCTGGCATGATTTGAAAATATGAACTTTTTCAATTTTCAACCTGCTTTAATAGTTCAACATTTCTGAAGCATACCATTTATATACTCTAAGTCGTCTTTCCGTATAGGTGCCTTGAAATTTTCCCTTTAAAGGATCCCTGCTGTTATAAAAAATCAAATAATTAAATAATTGATGTAAAATCCTCAAAAAGTCTATTGTTGCCTCACAACAAGTAACATGTCTATTTATAACCTTTTTAACCATGCTGTCGACAACAGGGTCTTGCGCGAGATCCCACATGCCGCCTTCAATTTGCCCATGCAGCAACCCCGATACACGCCTGTATTGGTTCGGAAAGCTCTACATGAGCCGTATGGCCTGCGCACAATCCAGTTAGTTTTATACATCGATACTTGAAACATGACGCGCCTAACTTTACCCCCTCGTAGCTCAGGGCCAACTGACGCTAAGACGGTCAAAACACCGCCATTGTCCTTGAAATGGTAGTGGGGGAAGGTAGATGGCGTATCATGTAATTTGCTAGCGGTTTCACTTATTTCGGTGCGCTTTTTCAAATGTACGGACTCTGAATCCATGGCACGAGTACTGGTGGGTTATGCAATTAGTTTCTAATACAAATTAGTGAAAGTTGACAAAATTGTGAAATTAAATCATTATCGAGTTAAGTTTTTTTAACTGTACTGGTATGCACTACTGGATCTTGCATATTTATATTTTTGCATTCAATATCAACTTTTCTTGTGATAGGCCTATTTATCTTACTAATATTATAAATGTGAAAGTTTGTGTGTTTATTTAACCATTCATTGAAGATGAATAAAGTTCAATCACGTATTAACTACTGGACGGATTGGGCTGAAATTTGGCATGATGATAGCTCACATTCCCGATTAACATATAGGTATATTCTTATCTCAAAAATCCTTTCTGGCTCCGCCCCAGTGGCTCTGTAGTTCCCCATGTTAACATTATGAGTATTTATATTTAAAGAGAATTAAAGAATTTAGTCAGCTGTTTCAACTAAAAAAGTTGGTTCTATGATATGATAAAGCATTAAAAAAGTTATAAGATTTACCAACAGGGTGCAGCACTATTTTTTGTATTTATGAAAACAGCTAATTTGAACTAAGCAGCAACAAAAACTTTGACGCAATGAAAACTAAACTGTCAAAGTAGGATTGTTTACTTTACAGTTATGTTTGTGTTTTTAATTTCATGAATAATTTGTGATATTTTGTGAATCTTAAATAATTTATTTTTCTTTATTGTTTAGGTGAAATGGTAGAACATTAAGGCTATGGTAGATGTGTAATACGATAGAATCCTGTAAATTTAAAGAAGCAAACTTTATCAAACTGTGTCCTCCCTCTTTGCAAACGCAAAGCTTGCATATAACAGCAATAAGCATTTTATGCTTATATGTCGACCCCGTACGAAGGACGGGTACTCATTCATCATTATTAGTCCTCTTTGGAAATCCCAAGATATTCTAATCTTGAGTGATGACTATGGTAAATTATTGGATGATGAGTGATAAATTTGCTCAGTAAACATACTATGAAAGAGAAAGGTAAACAGTAAGGTAAGTGAATAAAACGTAATAATTTGTTTTAGTTTGAAGAACAGCATCAGACTGTACTTGCCTGACTTAAATCAGCTGAACAAGGGAAGCAAGGAATTGGTTTACTTGGTGCTGCTGTTGGATAATGTGTTAAGAGTATAACTACCTTGTTGGACTGAAATTTGAATTATAAACGAGAATTTAACTTCACTAATTAGTAATTAAGGAACCATACAATATGTTATAGGCTAAAATCTCCTATTTGGAGAAAAAAATCCTGTTTTTTTAGGGGATTTTGTTACTATTTTTTCTGTTACATGTTCCTATGTTTTGTTTATATGTTGTTGTTGGACATAAATTTGTTGTAATAGTAATACATATTATTTAATTACCCCTACTATATGGTACTCTCCAATTATGAGAAAATGTATTATTTGTTTTGATAAGTGAATTATATACACAATTAAATTCCAATGACAATGATTATGTTGTTGTTTATACTGAATAATGCAACTATTTATTTGTGTCTCTATTTTACTAACAAATATCTTTAATTTGATGTGCATATCAACCTATGGTTACATTTAATATTTCCTTCTCTGACTCCTTGCGGGACGTCCCCGTGGCCCATGATATGACAGAAAACTGATAGTTAATTCAAAATGTAGATTTTTAGGCATCGTGTTGATGTACCAAATCTTATTGGTTCATCTGTTATCGTTCAGAAGATATTAATCCCGTGCGGGACTTAATGTACACCCTGTATAAGATACTGAAGAATACATCCCTTGTATGCCGACCAACTATAGCCTAACTGGGAAAACCTTTTCAACCTAAATCATAATGGGAATCATAAGCTATGTAACACTTCAGCCAATTGTATTTTTAATACACAGTAGACCCTGCAACCAGTTAAATCTTGTTCCATCCTCCTTGCTCCAGTAAAACGGACTTAATATATTTACAGTCTTCTCCTGTGATGATGGAGGTTCTTTAGCTGTCCCGGGGGTTAACAGTACTGATAGAGACAAGACTTTGGGTATGGTACTTGACAGTAGCCTCACATTCTCGGACCACATCATTTTATTTCCCAGGTGGCTTTGGGAAGAGACAGCCAAGCTGCAGCTGGTACAGTCACTTATGTATTTAGTATTCCATTGCTGTTTTCCAACAAATAGTAACTCATCTCAAGGTAAGAGATGTCCGGATTGCCTGCAGTGTGTTTTGTTTACAGTATCTGTGAGAGTGAAAACGGCTACCACCTTTCCAGGAGGCTGCAGGGTTGCTGTCAATAGATGCCATGTTCTGGGGGCAGATTTGTGGCCTCATCCACCGAGTCTTGGTAAAAATCATCAAGATTTGGATGAAATTTGTTACAACTGTGAAAACCTACATTCAAACGAGTTCGCAAATCAGCATATCAGACGATGAGAACTGGCATGAAATGTAGCAATTTGATTCTAAACTATTTTGTAGAGCTTTCAAAACCAAATAATTTAGTATGTTGAGGTGTTTTTTTTACGCTCAATGGTTATGGAGAACATTTTGAATCACCATGTTATTGTTGTGAAAAAAAGTAAATTGATGTGGTTTGCTTGTTTATAGCTATATTTCAACCAATTTATTTATTTCATACCAAGCTATTAACCATAACTTACCTTACCGCTGTTTTCATTCAAACCAAAGAAGGTTTTTGTCCTCACCAACAATGCGAATCACTATTTGCCATACGAAGGATACGCTCCATAGCAGCAGCTTGTCTACGCGCCGGGCGATGCGGGCTCGTTAGCACAGCTTGTCGCACTCGCTCCACGTTCTCCGGCGTCCTCACTGACCTTGGACGACCTGTAGGCCTACGTTTTGCAGTTGATCCTGTGGATCTAAAGGTATCCACCCACAATTTGATGGTGTTTCGGGATGGGATAGGTTCCCCACGAGCCACATTAAAATGCCTACGAAACTTACGTTGCGTATCAACAACAGAATCGCCAGTTTTAAAATACGCCTCAATGACAAACACGCTTTGTATACCGGTCCACTGCCCCATGGCGACTGAAATGGGGTCACTTGGCCTAGAGAATGAGCCGCTCCCCACCACCCTCCTCCACTCGGCTGCCTGACAGTACACGCTTGAAAACCGTCAGATATTTCTGCCGCTCCCTGTATATATATATATGTGTGTCCGTTAGCACGATAACTCGAGCAAAAATGATCCGATTTTGATAAAATTTGGTACGAACGTGTAAACCTACGTTTATTCAAACGAGTTCGCGATCCAGCATGATCGGACCATGGGAACGGGGGTTTATGGGGGGTTTTATGGGGTAAAAATAGGTTTTTCCCATTTTTGACTCAAAAAACATAAAATTTTGCAATTTCTTTCTAAACCATTTTGTAGAGCTAAAAAAACTAATAATTTAGTATATTGAAGCGTTATTATGCGCCTAATGGTTACGGAGAAAATTTCAAAAAATTGTAAATTTAAAATTCCCATGTTATTCTTATGGAGAATAAGTAAACTGTTGTAGTTTGCTTGTTTATGAACATATTTTAATCAAATTTTGAAAATGTTTTTAATTCTTACTAACTATTAACATTTTACAAAAAAAAAAACAGTTTTACCCTACCTGATGCAGCAAACCTAATTACTTTTTAAACTAATTCTATTTAAATCGGAAATAAATGTTATATTTTTAAGTAGACATTTCAGTGTAAATCCAATCAGTCAAATAGAAATTCGCTTAGTCTGCAGGTTTACTGCGGCGGGGGTATTATGTTAATAGCTTAGTAAGAAATGAATGTGTTTTCCAAACTCGATCATGATATGTTCATAAACAAGAAAACTACAACAGTTTACTTATTCTCCATAAGAATAACATAGGAATTTCAAATAAAATTTTTTTTGAATTTTCTCTGTAACCATTAGGCACACAATAACGCTTCAATATACTAAATTATTTGTTTTTTTAAGCTCTACAAAATGGTTTGGAAAGAAATTGGAAATTTTGTGTTTTTAGGGTCAAAAATGGGAAAAACCTATTTTTAACCCATAAAACCCACCATAAACCCCCGTTTCCATAGTCCGATCATGCTGGTTTGCGAACTCGTTCGAATAAATGTAGGTTTACACGTTTATACCAAATTTCATCAAAATCGGATCATTTTTGCTTGAGTTATCGTGCTAATGGACACATACGTATAAATTTGAACGGATGGTGTTTTGGCCTCTAGGGACCTCAAAACGAAAAAGTAAATCGGCCCCGGGTCCAGGTCTTACCATGAGTACTACGGTAATAGCTTAAGGTGCATTGTCACTGGTGCGGCTGGAACTGCAGTCGTTGGACGACAGCTGTTGAACGATAATCGTAGAGCTACTGCTTAGCATTGTTTTCAAGGGCACCGTTGTCACTTACGCCATTGTAGCCTCAGTCGTAGACGTCTATCATACGGGTCTGCTCCTGGAGCAGTCAGAGTCACATTCGTTAGACGATTTTTGAGGAATTCACAGATTTAAGTGCTTTGAATTATTGCTTTACGTCAATTTGTTACTGATATATTAAAAGTGCTAAATCTATTGATATTTTCATTAAAAAAAAAAACACATTAATTTGTTATCCTTGTTGCAGCAAACCTGTGTACTCAGCCCCAATGTTATACGTTTGTGGAATAATTTAAATGTTGTACATCACATTTTTTGTTAATGCATTTTTATCAAACTTAATACTGTAAGTGGCTTTATAAGGTATTATGGTATTAGAACACACATAAATGCATTGGAAACTCTCCGGGTACATAGGTTTGCTGCAACTGGGGTATTACATTGTTTTTATCCTGACCACGTTTTCTTCTGAAAATAAAAATACTATAGGTAGCATTCTAATAGTTTATTAGCTTAATACAAAATTTAACTAGGGTAAATAAACCGTCCTACCTAACAGGGCCGGTTTAACCCATACGCGAACTACGCGTCCGCATATGGCGCCACGAAAAAGTGGCGCCGTGGCGCCAACGAAACATTTTTTTACGTGAACAACGTAATTTTGTTTATTTTTGCTCAGAGTTCAAGTATTCAAAGCACCACAATAAAGGCATTTATTCTGTCAATCAATCAATCAATCAATAAAATCTTTATTCAATATTAGTACTCTGTCTGTTTAAGTCTGTTTGTACCAACAGCACTTGAAAATTTTGTATATTTGTACAGCACTACAACTCAAGGACTCAATGCTATTTGCAGTTTCGATTTGAACTGAGCTGACGCTCGGCAGTCGGCAGCGTCAGCGCCAGCGCGGCACACCGGCACCTATGGGTTTCATTTCACGAATCACTCATGCTCGAGATAAGCAAGCGCGCAGCGCCACTTGTCACAACAAGAAACTTCCCCTTTCTTTCACTCCTTTCTGCCTCTGATCCTAGAGCAGAGCACTACGTTGTATTGCACTCTTTTAGTTGTATACGTAGGCCCACGATTACTAGAAAAATACCGGTATGGATCATAAACATAAACAAATGACGTTGTTGGCCCGAATCCTATACTAATAGCATTGAACATAACATATGTTTTGGCAGTTCCATTTAAGCAATGTTAAATAATGTTTATTTTCTGGCCAAAAACGTCATTTGTTTATGTTTATGATCCATACCGGTATTTTTCTAGTAATCGCGCGTAGGCCTATACCGTATCGGTATCGTATTGGCATTGTTTTGATTCATGATTGTTGATAAGCGAATTATTACGAGTGTTTTAAGTTTAATTTATAATTTGCGCATTAAATAAAAATAAATTATAAACTGAATGAGTGAGTAAAACATATTGCGAGCCGAAACTATGAAAACAATGGCAGAAAAAAAGAAACCGTCTGGCACTTATCATAGAAAGCGTAAGGCAAATTTGGAAGAGGAAGAAAAAAAAGCCAAATCAATGAGTAGACTTTTGTAGAAATCATCTGGGGCCCATTTCATAATAAAGTACAAACTAATATTATTAGTAAATCAGCTGATCGCCCAATGCAAATCTAATGGAAATTACAAGTTACAAGTTGTAACTTGTAACACCCCTGGTGACGAGTTCAGTCAGCCCAAAGAAGTCACGATAGAAGACGGCAATGACGTAGGTATTTATTTATTTATTTGCCAAGGAAAGATTAAAACAAGCAGCTGATCACAAACGGCAAACATTACGTCATTGCCGTCTTCTATCGTGACGTCATGCTTGACGAGCATTACATTACGGCCTGTTTTTTTTAGTGTGTCCTTGGTTTTGCTATAGTTTTTATATGATGAGTAAAAGTGTATAAATGTCACATTTCTGCGAATAATAAACAGCCTTTTATTGCAAGTTACTTCTTCTACCTAAACTTATAAAAAAAATTCTTCCCAAAATTATTGGGAAAAAATTCACAAATACGGTTAAGTTATATGTTCATGGGTTTGGGGGGGGG